TCATTTTGTTCTTGAATCAGGATCCGAACCTTTTGCGTTCTTATGTTGTTCGGCCGGAAGGAGTTCCACTTCTAGGACTCCTGGTAAGAATTTTCTGTGTTTGGTCATCATGTGAACATTTAGTGAGATCTGATATCCTTCTAATTAACCAGCATCTACATGACCAGAACGTGAACAAAACAGCTTCCTCTGTCCTGAAAAAAAAAAATTGTCATTGTTAAAATTGAGTGCTCTATTTTCCCAGCACTTGCAAGACACAAATTATCACTTGTCTCTTAAATAGTCCAACTGTTGAAATTGAAGTATATTTGCACATTTAGATCCTGCTAGCACCTTAGTGTGGATCTTAAAACGGACAGCTGGTGGAATGGGATACAAGTGAACAGTTATAAGCTGGTTATTCTTTTTTACAGAGCTTTAGGCCTAATTTGATAGAAAACAAATAGGTATTGATCATTGAAATATTTGTTTAGTCGGTGAGGATGACTAACTTATGGTTGTATACTGCAGGTTAAAGGAATGCTAACAGATTTTGGGGATGACATGCACTGCCAGTTTCTAGAAATTCTTCGTAGTTTACTGGATTCATACACATTGTCAGGAGCTCAGGTGCTTATGCAACTTTTTCATTTTCCAAAAAGATATGTTGAATGATGGATGACATTGCTTGTAAATTGTTGAAATTGTTTCTGTTGATTGCTATTTTGTTTTCTTTTTAATAAGGCCTATTCTTTTGTTTTTCTCATAGGTTTTTGGTAAATGTAGTGACTAATTTCATCACTGTTTTATCTTGTTCTTTTGCTATTGTTCTTTATTGCTGTATATCGCACATTTTTTTGATAGTCATCATCAGATTTTCAAGCTTTATATTTGTGATGATTTTGAATTTAGAGCATGCAACGCATTTGAGTTTATTTATGCAGTTGTAACAATTTGAAAATTGATTTGTACTTTATTATATTTATCTGCTGAATTGTTGGAAAAACTTTGTCCGTAAAACTTTCATGTAAGCCTAAGTTTCTTTTGTCAAATTTTTTGTTCTATTAGTATTCTGAATTCATCACTGAATGTTTGATATTATTTGTGTCTGCTGTAGAGGGATACCATTATTGATATCTTCTATGAGAAGCATTTGGGTCAATTAATTGATGTTATAACAGCATCATGTCCTCTCAAAGGTGCTGCTCAATCGGTTGGTGGCGAATCTTCTGGTAGTGGTGTAAGAGTTGAAAGCACAAAACCTGAAATACTGTCAAACATATGTGAACTGCTGTGCTTTTGTGTCCTGCACCATCCTTATAGAATAAAGTAAGAATTTTGATGCCTGTTGTCTTGTCACCTCGATTATATTCCTGCTATGTATATGGCATTAATTTGTGGGATGTTCTTTTTGCGTTTGCAGGTGTAATTTTCTTCTTAATAACTTTATAGATAAAGTCTTGTTACTGACACGAAGAAGGGAAAAATATCTAGTAGTTGCTGCTGTTCGATTTGTTCGTACAATTCTTTCCCGCCATGTAAGTGACTTCGTTTTGATCAGTTGATATATGTACTCATCTGAATGATTATACCATGGATTTCATGGTGAGATGCAGAATGTTTATTTTTTTTCCTTGGTTCAACTATATACGAGGAGATTAAGAGTATAAATTGTACTTAACGTAGAATTAGGGCTGCATGGATGGGAAATTTGTGAATTACTAGTTCTGTGCTTTATATACTAAATGTCAGGTCATTATTGCTATTGCCATGGTAAAGGGCCCAGAAAACTGTTATTTTCATGATGCTCCTACTTGGGATTTGGTAGGTAGAAGGTGTCAGTAACAAAGAATTGATTTTTTTGGTTTAAAGTTGCAGTCATTTCACAGGATTCTGGGTCTAACTATTGCAAATGTATTGCTTCTCTTTGTTGCTAGCAAGTTATTTTACCTTGTGCAAGAGTGCAAAACCTTCTGAGGAGGATTATGTTTATAAAATGTCCCAATTTTCTGGTCAGTTGTACTTTTTTTTTTCCCTCTTTTCCCCTCGCGTGACATCTGAATGTGTTGGCACTTTCTAGATTATTGTTAATTTTAAGAAGGCAACTTGTTTACTCTATGCTTTATACTGCATTTGATACTTCCAGCTCCTCAGCCCTTCCTTCCCTTCTATTGAGTTTCCTGTAAATTTGCAAGTTTTTGTGATACATTTGTTTTACAAGTTTTTTGTAATTCTGCAGGATGAACATCTGATAAATCATATTGTTAAGAACAATATTCTTAAACCAATTATAGATGTCTTTGTTGCTAATGGCAATCGTTATAATCTGCTGAACTCTGCAGTTTTGGAGCTCTTTGAATACATTTGCAAGGTGCCCATCTTTTTCTAAGCTTTTATCTTTTTTGTCATGATAATCTTATGGATATGTGGAAGATTTTGTTTACTTATCGCTTAATGTCATGCAGGAGAATCTGAAGTCATTGCTTAAATACATTTTTGATTCATTCTGGAATCAGTTGGTTAATTTTGAGTATTTGGCTTCTATTCACTCTCTCAAAGTTAAATATGAGCAGGTATTTTCCTATCCCTGCATGTTTTTCACCACTTCACTTCTAATTTAAGATTCTTGGCCCTTAAAAGTTTTGTTTTCAGTGCTTGGAAAATAGTGAAAGCAAAAGTAATGTTAATTCACTCGATACAAGAAAACGAATTGATGAGCGTGCCCTGGAGAAGGAAGAGGAAGATTATTTTAACGAGGACAGGTGTGTTTTCTGTTTAGGAACGTATCAACAGAACTTTTTTCCAACATTTTCTTTCCCATTGCACTGAATTTGGATTCATAAGCAGTGACGAAGAGGATACGGCATCTGCCTCTCACACCCAGAGAACTCAGGCTCAACCTGTTTCATCCAATGGAGTAACTGCAAGCTACACATCATTAAGGTATTATAATTGCCTCATCCTAGAAAGTTGACCCAATACATCTTGGAGACTTTTGTAATTATATAGTGAGTTTTTCTGTGTTGACTGTAGTCCAAGATCTGGTGGACTTGTTGACTATGATGATGATGAAGATGATGAAGACTATAGACCACCACCTAGGAAACAGTCAGAAGCTTCAGAGGAAGATGAAGGAATAATGGCATCTCTCAGATTGAAGCGTAAGTTGTCTGTCCCCAAGGAAAAGGAGCCTGAGCTAGTGAAGAAGCAACGTTTGGGTAAAACCTCGAAGTCAAGAGATAGTGTTGTATTTGCTGCTTTGTGTTCAACACTAAGCCAGGCAGTGCTACCTGGCAAGAAAAGTGCAAGCAGCACGCAATTAAGTGCTCGTACAAGTGATGGTAACAAGGGTGTAGGTGAACAGGAGTCGGCCAATTCTCTGAATAGCGATAACAGTAGCAGTTCAGATGAGGAAAATCATAGAGAAAAGGAGCCTACTGCTTCTAGGAGTTGTTCGGATTGCCTGCATGCCAGTTCAGATAGTCGACAGTTAAGCGGTGATGACTGCCCTTTGATACCACCAAAATCCTCTCCAGAAATGGCTGTAAATGGATCTTAAGTTATTTTTCGGAGTTAATTTCATCAGGGTGACTTTTCTTATCCGTTTTTATTGAACCGATGGATGTCAGCGGTTGAGACCTGGGCAACCAAAGAAATGAGGTGCTTCAGAAGAAGAAAGTGGGTGGAGTTGGTTTTGGGCTTCCATCGAAAGTAGAAGAGTATACTTGTATAGTGCCACCAAGGGGCCGAAGGCAATTCAATGCTCGTGATATATAATGTAGGCCCGGTCTTCCCCGTTTTCGCTATATCTTTCTCTGATGCCTTGAGCCAAGTAATTGTTGCTTCTGTGAAAGATTTATCAAGCATTGATTTTCTTTGTTCATTTTTTTTTTTTTTTTTAATCTCGTCTTTTTTAGCTATGTGAACAATATGATAGAAAAGGGCATCAATATATGCCCTGCATAGTGTTTCTTTGTTGTCAGTTTTGTGGTGGGTGTGGTTAATATAGAGAAGAGGAGGAAGGTTTAGGGAGTTCCTTGGTTGAAGACCAAATTTTCACTTGTAGCAGAAACCTCATTTGACAGACAGACCCCTTTGTAAATTAAAACTCGCTATTGCGCGACTCGACTTTCCAAGGCTTTTCTTCTATTGCATTAGCAAAGTTAAAATTTGTTCACTGTTTTTTTGTTTTTTTGGTTTTTTTTACTTTTTTCTCCTGCTCCAATTCGTTTGTACAATTCAATCTTAAAATATGAAACTCATGGAGAATATTTGTACTGTTGAATTTTTATCACAATAAAAATTCAATTTCATACTATCTTTCTCATAAGCTCTCAGGATTTTATTGCTGAATTTTGAATTTTAAAAAATTTGTCAGCTGTAACCTAGGAATTGTAAGAGAGGGTTTGTGACTAACTTGTAAGTGTAATATTGTTTTTTTTTTTACCAAGGCATTGCAATGTACTCGCTTGTCTGTACCCCGGCTATTTTATCTGGCTTAGTGAACATAATAATACTTTACTTACAAAGAAATCTTACAAAGATTTTCATATAAAATGAGGTGGTAAAAAATGAATAAAAGAGTGAAACAAAAAGTTAAACTCATTAAATTCACTCTTCTATTCATTTTTTGTCACATCACTTTGTATAAAAATTTTTGTAAAATTTCTTTATAAGTGTAGTATTTACTCTAATGAATAAATGATCTTAATTAAACAATAAAGGTGAAAAATTGCCCTGTTCAATCAAAACTGTGAATTTTAGACTGGATACGGAGCGAACCTCCAAAGTTTCAACCTTGAATACTGAATATGAATGTACGACTGTTGATCAATCATCACAATGAATGGGTTATAACGAACTTAAAAGAGAATCAGAAAAAATGATGCGTCGCAGGTGATTTAAACTCAATTTGAATTTGTCCTGGTAACCAATACACGTGGCAAAGTGGGTCGTAGGCGTCCCCGCGAAGTCCGCAGTTCTAGTTACATGAACGAGACACGTAAGGTTTCACATACACGTGTTCTCTATGACTTTCTCCTCCTTACATAAAGATCCCCTTCCCACTGCCACTCTCAGTTACACTTGAAGCTCAAAACAATTTCTTGTTCCAAGTTTGTTTCAACACCATTTCGTTTTTCGGGAAGATGAGTAACTTGGAGACTCGGTCTTTGCTAGATGAGTTTCGTAGCTTTGACAAGGGTGGCTTCTTCGACCTCGGCCACCCTCTCCTCAATCGTATTGTTGAGAGTTTCGTCAAAGCCGCTGGGGTAAGAAACCTCTCATTACATGTACTTTCTCTTTCAAAACTCTGATTATTGATGAATCTAATCGGTTCTGATGTACAGATAGGAGCAATTCAGGCTGTGTCAAGGGACGCATACTTCACAGCTATTGAGGGTATATAAGATGAGTTGTTATTCCGCGTTTCTGCTATGCTTTTGAAAGGTATATCATTAACTGTTTGTTTTTTTCCCTTGATTTCAAGGTTCGGGACTTGATTCAAGTGATATGTCAGAGTTAGGTGGTTCAAAGAAACACAGCTTTTCCAATATCAAAGGTGCGTGTTAAATTAAAATATTATTGATCTGTCTATACTTATATATTCCATGCATTGCCTGTTTCTAATGTTTTGTTATTTTTGTTTTCAGGAGAAACCAACCGAAAATCTCTTGAAGCCATGGTGAGTTTTGTAATTTCTGCTAGAGTATAAACGTCTTTGTTGATTGATGATGGATTTTAAAAACCATGAAGAATCTGCTTTGCCATATTACAGTCTTGCTGGTATCTAGGTTCCATTGCATTTCTTTCTTTTCCTTGAGGGGGCTAACGAGTAACAGGCCATTTTTATTCATTGTGCAATTTTTTGCAGGTGAAGAACACGGGAAAAGAATCTTTACAGTGGGGTAAGTATAAATAAATTCTCAGACCTGAACGCCTTGTTATTATCATTTTATCATTTGCGTGGTTGCTCATGCTGCTCAGATTTTATACTGCCTTTGTTCTAATGCTTTTCTGGGGCTTTTTTTTGTCTTGCAGGACTGGCTGCTGGAGTATATTCTGGTCTCACATATGGGCTAAAGGAGGCTCGTGGAGTTCATGATTGGGTAAAACGATCATAGCACTGTCTTTGTTTTTCAAATTCATTGATAAAATCTACATTGAATTCGCTCCTTATATTGATATGATACCTTTCATTCATAAAAATATAAACAACTGAGAATTATATGCAATTCAAAGGAGGCTTTTCTCTTTTTGCAGACATCTTTTGATGTTTGTTGCATCATAGTTTCATAATCACACAGTAAATTTTCTGGCATTACGACTCTTTGTTTTCCCTTTTTGTTTTGGACAGAAAAACAGTGCAATGGCAGGAGCAATAACAGGAGTGGCATTGGCACTTACATCAGAAGACCCTTCCCATGAGCAGATTGTGCAATGCGCCATTACCGGAGCTGCTATTTCAAGTGCTGCAAATCTTCTTACAGGGATATTTTAAGCTCAAAATAGGAAAATAATGTGGCCTTTGTTGCCTTTATTATCTCTTTTTTTTTTTTTTTTGGGTAAATGACATTCTGCTACTTCCATAAGAACAGTTTCTTTCTGGGATTTTCGTCTTTAGATGATTGTATTTAATCATCATCATCATCATCTTAAGAAACATGAAGGTTTTGTCCCTTTTATGGCCTCACCCGATGCCTTATTATCCAAGAAGTTTGTTTTGTATTTCATATTCTCATTACTATATATTTGTTCTTATTTTCCTGATGAGATTTATATATCAAATATGTATCTAAGTCCAGCCTCTTCTAATTATGGTTTAAGGGGTTGTTTAATTTAAATAATAATTTAAAAAAAAAAAAAGCCAGCAAGTTTAAATTTAACCTACTAAGTCATGAAATGTCGCAAACAACCCCCTCAATCTTAATGTTGGAATCTAATTTGGAACAGGTGAAAAGAGATTTGGGTTTTGGATCCTTTGAAAAATGGTTTATTTTAATATATTGAGAACACTAATATGAGATTTAATCAAATATTTGATTGTATGGAATGGTCATTTGAAAGCATTAATTACCTTAAAGGTTTCAATAATTTTATAGATATATTATTTCTAATTCTAAAGATTCTGAAAACATATATGTAATACTTTTTAATAATAGTTTAAAAACTCTCATATAAACTCTCTGTATAACATTAATCAATAATTTAAGGTGAATAAACTAATCAATCTTATATATTTAAAAGAAACAAGGTGCATAAGATATTCGAATAATATATATAATTTTGTAGTATTAATTTAATTTTCACATCACACACACACACACATATGTAAAGTATTTCAAGATTGAGGTCTTTTCTGCCGCGTATTGAAAAACTGACTCGAAATTAATGAGCTTTATATATATAAACAAGGCCGAACAACTTACACATATCCAAGATTTACCGAAACGATAAAATGTTACTTAAAAGATTTTGAAACGATAAATAGGTACCTTTCATCATGTGCTGTTAGTGATTTCCGTTTGATAATAGTGAAAAGACTATAATGCCCTTGAAAATTTGATATTTTAGCTTTTTATAAATTTAAAAATTTTTAAAAAACCTCTTAGGTTTGCTAATTTAATTAAACACCCCAACATATAAAAATTTTATAAAATCACAAAAACACCCCCACCACCCGCAGTGCCAGATTCCAGCCACCACAGTCGGAAAATTGAGTTACGATATAGACCCCTTCGGATCTGTGTCATAACTCATTGATCTAGCCTTTTTCGGCCAGATCTATGTCCAGATCTGGCCGTCGAGAGTTTTGCAGCCTCGACGGCCAGATCTGGCAGTAGATTTGGCCTTTTCCGGCTAGACCCATCACAGATTTGGCCGAAAACTGTCAGATCTACGTCCAGATCTAGCCGTCGAGAGTTTTGCGGCCTCGAAGGCCAGATCTGGACGTAGATCTGACCTTTTCTGGCCAGATCCGTGGTGGATCTAGCCGGAAAAGGCCAGTCAACGCGTTACGACACAGATTCGAAGGGGTCTGTGTCGTAACACAATTTTTCGGCCAGATTCTGACGGTGGTGGTTGGAATCTGGCACTGCAGGTGGTGGGGGTGTTTTTGTGATTTTACAAAAATTTTATATATTAGGGTGTTTAGTTAAATTAGCAAACCTAGGGGGTTTTTTAGAAAAATTTAAATTTACAAAAAACTAAAATATCAAACTTTCAAGGGCATTCTAGTCTTTTTACTATTACCAAACAGAAATCACTAACAGCACATAACGGAAGATACCTATTTATCGTTTCAAAACCTTTTAGGTATCACTTTGTTATTACGGCAAATCTTGGGTATGTGTAAGTCGTTTGGCCCATATAAACAATGAAATAATATAATACGTATAAGATTTGGTGCCAAAACTTGAGAGATTACTAATACTTCGTTATAATTTTGGTGGTGTAATTGCAATAAAATAATCTAATAAGGACTGCAATGTAAAAGAACAGAATAGAAAACGAATTTCTGTTTTGGCTTGGTTGTGTAATACGAGGGTAATTCCCTAATTTCTAAAACTTTTTTTGTTTAGTAACTGGGATGTTCATGATAGTTTACGCGTATCTCAATTAATTATCGAATCCATTGAAGACCTACAAACCCAAAACAACCAGATAAATCATGTGCATTTATTTTAATATTTTTGAAAAAGAGTTAAGTGGTTATTATGAGATAGAATTTGAAAATTAACAAAAATATCTCATTAAGTTTGTTAATTTACTAAACACTTCTATAATAAAACATTGAAAATTAATAAAAACACCCCCGCACACTCATTAAATACTAGCAGCCAGCCACCATCGTCGGAGGGTGGCTAGAGTCGCCGTATCGACCCATGACCGGTTGGATCTGGCCGGTCATGCCCCGATATGACCTTTTCCAGTCAAATCCACTATGGATCTAGCTGAAAAATGTCATATTGGTGCACGACTCTACGATTAGATCTGGCTGTTGACGGCCAGATTTGGTCACATTTGGTCGTCGACGACTAATTATGGCCAAAGATCTGATCATAGATATGGTATTTTTTGACCAGATCCAGGGTAGATCTGACTGAAAATAAGGCTTGAGTGGTGCATTACCGGCCAGATCTAGTTGATTGTACGTCATTATAATATATTCTGGCTACCTTTCGGTGGTGATGGCTAAAATCTGGCAAATGTGGGTGGGTGAGGTGTTTCTATCAATTTCTAAACCTTTTTTAAGGGTGTTTAGTTAAATTAATAAACTTAAAAGGTTTAAAATAATTAAATAAAATAGAATAATATGATCATAGGTTAAGACAAAAATAAGAAAACAAGTCACTTCTATTATTGTGATAGATAATCTCAAACTTAACCTATTTGGCCGTCGGCCAACGCCTTGGTTTGAAAACTCTTTTCCTAAACGCATAATTTGGGTTTTGTTTTTATCATTGAGACTGTGCGCGTCAAATTTACTCGGTTACTTTATAAAGCATTGTTCACTAATAATGTAATAATCGGCCTTCGACAATTCAAAGAACGCATAATTTGGGTTTTGTTTTTATCGATCTGGTTTCAAGGTATGCCTTTCGCTTTACATTCTCTTCTTTAATTCTCATACTTTCAGTTCTTCCGTTTCTGTTTGGGTTTTTGTCTGATTCTTCTTTTGTATAGGTTTCTGTTTTGGGGTTCTTTGATTCGTTTTATTTCTGTAAAATTTGAAATTTTGAGTATATTGGTAGTTAATTCGGTTTATTCATAACCCTAGATTCTATTTCCTATCGAGAAAGTTTGGTTGTTTTATGATTGTCGAAGACAATTTGAAAATTGAGTAAATGGTTGGTTGGTTAGTTTAGTTTATTCTTAACCCTAGATTATATTTATTGACGTGATTGATTGATTAAGACCATTCTTGAATGCAGAGTCGGGAGAGATTGTGACTGTTTTGATAAAAGATTTGAGAGCTTGTAATTGTTAGGGTTTTGGAAAATGTCGAGTAAAAAGGAAGAGAAATCCCAGGCTGCTGCTGACAGAATTAAGGCTGCAGCCTTGAGTGCAGCCAAAGGTTTAAGTCGTGCTCAGGCAGAACGTGCTGCCACTGCAGCTGCACGAAATGTTAATGCATACGGGCAGAAGGAAGAAGGGCCCAGCCGATGGCAAGAGAAGAGGGAAGCAAAGAGGCAGATGTACTTGATGAGTACCGAAAAGGCGGTGAGATTGGGTGAGAGAAAAGATCTTAAGACTACAATGTCTAGCATTGGTGGTACAGCTTCACAGTGCCAGAAATGCTTTCAAACTGGACATTGGACATACGAGTGCAAGAATGAGCGTGTGTACATGTCACGACCTTCACGGACCCAGCAGCTGAAGAATCCTAAATTGAAGATGAAGGTGTCAATCTCTTATGATTTAGATAACCCAGATGTTAAGGATGAGGCTGCTGAAAAGAGTTCCAAGAAAAGTAAAAGGAAGCATCGCTCTGACTCAGAGTCTGGTAGTGACAGTGAGGCTTCGGTGTTTGAGACTGATAGCGGTTCGTCATCTGTGACGGGTTCAGATTATTCGTCAGGGGAGAGTAGCTCTGACTACAGCTCATCAACTGATTCAGAGGAAGAGAGGAGACGCCGAAGAAAGAAGAAGAAGCAGAAGAAGGCTAGGCGTAGGAGGTACAGCTCATCTTCTGAGTCATCTGAATCGGACTCTGTATCAGAATCTGATTCAGATGATAGGCGCAGCCGAAGGAAGAGAAGGCACGGCAGGAAGCGCTAAATGTGGGAATCTAGCAGGAAGTACCTAGCTACTATTTATTTTGCTTTGTGTTGGATTTGTGTTTTTATAACTGGGAATATCTACCAGCTCCATATAACCATATGTGCAGTATGTCGGTTGATTAGCGGTGACTGTGGAGATTATAAGGTGGAGATACTAAGTGATGCTACAGATTGAGGGCTCTAAAACAAGTTTATTAGATGTTTTCTTCTTTTACATTTCTATTCCATTTTGCATTGACTGTTGCATTATGATGTAATAATATGGATTTTTCTGTAGCTTTTGAACATTGAGCTTGTTTTGAATGCATTTTTAAACTTTATATTGTTTAATAAATTATGGTAGCCATAGTAAATTATTGTCGGACATGCTCCCTTTTCTCTTTTCAATTATTTTATTGGTTGTATGTTGGATTTGTACCTTTCGCTGACTGGTATTGGTTTTCTGATATTCAGAAAGAATTTTACCGAGTGATGCTTTATCATAGAAAATTGTACAGGATTGAAGTTGAAGCTTAAAATGTTGGTTTTTTTTAACTACCCCAAATCATCTTCCTCAGCGATTTATGTGGTCATATGCTATGTGTGAATTTCCATCTTAAACTGCAGAATGATTTTGCAATATAGTGTTTGGATAATGGATACTATTTGGTCCTTTCGATAAAACTGGACCTAATGTACAATTGTTTCACCTCAAAACTTGTATTCTTCTGTACACTTGAGTTATCACTTGATATTTGCTCCTTATGTTAAAACTGGAACTGATGAGCATTAGCCCACATAAAATACCAGTGCATCCGCGCATGAACTGAGATTTCATCTAAATTTTGCATTGACTACTAATATTCTGAGAATTATCGTAGCTTTCTTTAGAACATGGCAGAAGAACCCGCCAGTTGCATTTATGTCATAGATTAGTGCTCTCTGGATCTACCATTTTTGCCTTTTTATTTTAAATAAGATTGAACAAAGATTTACAAAGCAATGTATATGCAGCCCATGGTGTATCTATACATGTATAATTAGGCCTCAGAAGGAGCAAGTTCTTGCTATTTGAAAGAGAGCTTTATATGGGAATTTCTTGAAGCCGAAATGCCATATTTCCTTTATTCTATATAATTAATTATTTCTTCATATTTGTGAGGCTAATTTTAAGGAGAGTTATTAAATCATGTCCAGAAACATAAAATCTACCCTCAATGTTTAGATAAATTCATTAAAAAAATAAATAAAAAAATAAAAAGGGTTTTATGTAACCGATACAAATTTGATACCAATTTATGATTGAACTGAAAAAAGTTATTAATAAATTATATGTGATTTAAATTTTCTCTTTTATTGGAAGTTGTATTTGTACTATATTGCTAGTTTAATGAACTCGTGTGTGTATCAGTGTGTGTGTGTGTGTCTATATATATATATATATATATATATATATATATATATATACGACTTTCTCTTCTCTTAAATTAGATTTTGGGAGTGGCCACCGAGTGACCTGATGGTAAAAGAGTAAACAAATATATAAGTTTATATAGTCTCTCGAATTTGAGTCCTTACAACCCCCTAATAAAGGTGATTATTGGAACTCGTAGTGATAGGGTCTTGAGAGAATAGACGTGGCAATGGGGCAGAGATCTCATTCACCGTACTCATCCCTGCCCTCAAAATCACTTCCCACCCCCGCCCCATCCCCGTTATGGGGATGACAGGAATTCCTCTTCCCTGTCCCAAAGCGGAATGTTGGAGGCCCGTCCCCACCTCGTTAATTTTACATAAACATAAATTAATTTGAGCATTACCAAACATTATAGTTAATTCTCGTCCACATAACAAACACTTAAATTAACTGTTAAAACATAATTAATTATAGATAAATATGGGTTATGGTTTGTTCTTGTTCAATTGTTTAGGGTGAGGGAAATTGGGAAAATATGGGTTTATATAGGTAGGATAATTGTGTAATTAGGTGAAATATATGGGCATTAGTGAAAAGTATATATATATAATAATAATTTTTAATTTAATATATTATATACGAGGCGGGGGAAAGGCATCACCCACCCCCGCCCCATCCCCGAGGACGGGGATTAAAACTCCCCCCACCCCCAAAAAACGGAGGTTTCCTTGCCCCATAAGGGACAAGGCGAGACAGGTCCCCAAAATTCTAAGGAACATTGCCATACCTATGAGAGAATAGTTGAGATGTGCGTAATTTAACCCAAACGCCTCCATGGCCATCATGGAAAAAAAAAATGTTTTGGGAATGAGTTCTGTGCAAACCTATTTATCACCTAAATTATTATACATATAGGCATATACACGTGAAATAAATAAAAAAGTTTAAATAATTAATCTTTGGTTTCCATGTTTATCCATTGAAGTCAATAAAATTACTATCGTGTCCCACAATGTTAGTAGAAACTAGGAGGTCTGCGACTCTGAGAGAGAGCATAAAAAAGAAAGCAAGTGCCCGCCAAAGAATCCCCAAAACCAAAACCCATCTCTCTCTCTCTCTCTTTATCAATCTGTCTCTCTTTTAAGTTTGGCAAGATGAGTACCATGAAATTTTGCCGCGAATGGTGTGTTACATTTTATTCAAATCTCTCTTTTCCTTTTTCATTCATTTTTTTATATTTCTGAAATATATATGAAATTGAAGATTATTAATTTCAAATAATTGTGAGTTTCAGCAACAACATTCTGTACCCGAAAGAAGATAGGGAGCAGAAGATCCTCCTCTATGCTTGCCGTAACTGCGATCACCAGGCAACTTCCTTTTATCTTTCTGTTTTTGTTTTTGCTTTAGTTTTTTATATTTATATATATATATATTGTGAATGTGATTTGTTTTGTGTGTTCTTATATATATATATATAGAGAGAGAGAGAGAGAGAGAGAGAGAGCATTACAAAATGCTGAATCTGTGGTTGGATTTTTCAGTTCTTTTTAGACTTGAAATTGGTTGTGGTGTAGAGTGTTATATGTGGAGAACTTATTTAGAACATGCATCTGGTAGTATTATTAAAGTTAAAAAGCTTTAGAATTTTAATGTTGAAGATTGCCAAGACATGATTTTTATTTTGTGTGTTGAAAGGGACAAATTTTGAGTTGGATAATCTGTTGATTGAATCTATCTTGTTTAGATAAAGGTTTGCTTTAATTAGGGTTTCTAAAGCTTATTTTTAATTCTTTTTTCCCTTTTTGAACCCATAATTTTAAGACTATAATTGGTGCTGAATATGTCCCTATGTTGTCTTATTACTGTCACTAGATTGAATATACTGGACTCGGCACCTATGGTGGTGGGTTGTTTTCTTTGAGGAAATTTTCTGCTGATTTAGGGATTAGTTTCAAATTGTAAAAATAATCGATTCTATTTCCATGTGGGTATTGATTCAAAATTTCCTTGATAAAAGCAGCTGGAAGGTTTTTTCTTACTTGGCATATATATTTAATTTTCTCAACTTGTGCAGGAGATTGCTGATAACAACTGTGTCTATAGAAATGAGGTGCAACACTCTGTATCGGAGACAACACAAATTTTGAATGCTGATGTGGCTGCAGATCCAACTCTTCCTCGAACTAAAGCTGTTCGTTGCTCAAATTGTAACCAAGGAGAAGCTGTGTTTTTCCAGGTTACATCCTATTTCATTTATTTTATTGTTAATATCATTATTCATAGTTGATGTTGTAGCTTAGGGTAGCATTATGAATCAAAAGTTGTATTTTTCTTTCATTCTTCTTTTGTGGTGGGGTTGAGGTTCTGGGAAGTTAGAATGAAGATATATGTAGCATAATAGAGATAAAATTAATGATATTTGAGTGGAAAGATTGTTTTGTCTTTGGATCATAACTGTAGAAGTCAAGGTATATATATATGCTAAAATCAAAGAAGCTTGGCTTGACTTCTTACTAGACATAAAGGCCACCGAGGCATGAACAATTTCGACAAAGTTCCGTGATGGGACTACTGATTCTGAAATTGGAACTTTGCTGGAGTCATTCAATGTAGTAATGTGCTTGTTAAAACTTGGCTGAACTCTGATTCAATTCTACTTTTTCATAATGTTCAAATGAAAATGATTTTCTGCTCTGCTTTTAATAATGTCTTGAGTTCTGTAAACTGTTTCAGGCAACTGCTAGGGGCGAGGAAGGTATGACGCTGTTCTTTGTCTGCTGCAACCCAAATTGTGGTTTTCGATGGAGAGAATGAGATTTGATTGCTCACCATGTGAAGGGCAACTGAATATAATTAACACCTTTATGATGGATATGCTTTATTTTGTCCGCAGAACTTACTGACTCAGAATTAGTACCTACTAGTTTCCGGGCTGATTCTTGTTCTGGCCTAAAAGGTGATTACTTGCATTGGCAGTTTAATCTGGGTTTAGTTTATGTTGATGGCTCTGAGATGCCCGCCGCAGATTTTTTCAAACTGTTTCTACAAAAATGAAATTTATTCGTTGTCGTTGCAAATCTATTTTGAGCACCAAGAACAGCACTGAATGCCTCTGATACAGCTATTCTGGATACAATAGACCGGAAAAACTTTTTTGAAATAATAAAACTTCCTTACCATTAAGTTTTAAATGTTCAATAGTTAACAGGAAAGTAATTATAGTATAAGTTTTAATGTTTACCTAAGGGAGATTTTGTTATGACATAACATCTCAGCTCAGGTAGTTCAAGTTTTATTTAAACCATTAACTCTCATCTAAAGTGCAGCTCCACAGGATTAACCGACGAAACTCACTATTAGTTGGAGGCATTTGCACTTGTTTTTGAAACTGGAGAATTTTTAAAAACTTTGATGTGTACAGTAAAACAACTGACACATGACTAGATATTAACATTTCTCCTTTCCCTTTCCCCTTGTCATTATTAATGACATGATGATTATGATGTGATGTCTATCTGTTCTGTACAAGAATGAATCTTCCGGTGGAAAATTTTTCCACAGCCACCAGCTATTACCTACTGCGATCTCTCTCACCCGCTAAAAGGAATCCACCGCGTCCCTACCCAACCCCCAAAATTGGATCTAAATGAACAATGAGCAAAGAAAACTAAAAACATTTGAAGTAAAATAAAGGCAAAAGAATTGTAAATATCTACAAAAGAAATGGGTAAAAGCCTATACGGCTTGCCTTCTTCAATCTGATCACTGCCTGGTTTCAGGCGGCCCCGAGGATGAGGACTCTAGAGATAACAATATCCGTTCGAACCAGTCTGAAAGGCATTTTATTTTTGTTGAAAGGTCTGAATTCTTCCCAAAGTAAGATTCTGCGTTGGACAGCATAATGGCAATGTCATGCTTCACTGCCTCCAAACTTCTGTAGTAGTTGTGCTCTAACCTAGACTGGATCACTTCAAGTGATAATGGAACTGGAAACCTGAAATATTCGTGGATCCAAAAAACAATTCACCCTTCAATCTTATAATCAAACTGTCAAATAATATGTATATATATATGTGCCAAGACTATTTACTAAGATAATAACTAGAAAAATTAACCCATGTGCATATTGAAAACACAAGTAATTTAAGCATTATACCATCAAATTACCTGTTTGTAAAGTTAGACTTCTGTGAAACTTGCTTCAATTTTTGAACCCCATATTGATCCTGAAATGTCAATAACAAAATTAAAAAACACTTCTTCACAATTCAATGCCATCTATTATTCTCTAATATTGGTTGATGGTAGAGTTCATGAAAATAAAAATCTAGCATTTACTTCTGCATATAAGTAAATCTCTACACCATAGGATTAGAATTGATAACAGTTGGGAGCTTGTGTCCCATTTTAACGTAAAAATAACGACATACAATCAACAACCCCTCTTTTTTAGACACTAGTGACAATTTTTTAAAACCATTAGATTCAAGCATCTTCTACAGTTGAAGTAAAACTAACATTCATTAAAGCAGATTAGAAATTGTAGATGTTAGATATAATCTCAATCATTGAAAGTGTATCTATATATAAATTGCCTGATACCTGAACTTTGTGGGCAGACTGCTCCAATTTGGCAAAGGCAGACAGCAGTTTATTTCTGCTATCATCATCAATATGAGGTTGCTTCCACTGAGTATCAGCATCAAAAAGCTCCCAAGGGCTGTGTAAATGTGTTTCAGTGGGCTCAGTCTTGTACTGTACAGTATACCTCTCCCATGGACTGTCCGGAAATTCTGAAGATTTGGGCTTCACAGACAGGATACGGCCATCCCACCAACTACCATCTTCTTCACCCTCATTTTTCCACCACACTTTGCACTTATCCCTGCATGTCCAATTTCTATGAGTAGCAGCATCGAACCGAGTTCTTTCAACAAGAAAGTCTGGGAAACCAGTCACTTCAGGCAAAGTCAGCTTGAACACTTTATTAAAGACACTGGAAGCAGGGTCTATAAATTTGAGAGCCATTTTACAACAACTATCACCAGAACCTGAAGTGGTGGCATAATCAAGACCTTCAACTTTACAAAATTCAACAGCTCTTATGTTTCCCTTTACTGTTGCCCAAGGACCCACTTCTTTTGAGTTTCTATAATATATATACTCTTGATGCCCCTGAAAAGTACAGCAGAACACAAAATAATTATTAAAATCATCAACCCTAAAGCAAAAAGTAAAAACAAATTGTAACAAATAATGAAGTATCTAACTAACCTGTCTAAGATATACAATTTGATCCCCTAGCTGGGGAATATAACGGGAGCCCTCCTCATATGTTGACAACATTAACCATGAACGTTTTCTTGATGAATGATGTGCCTTCCGCTTATCTACAGGACTTGAGTCACAGAAATGATAATTGCTTCTCCTATTTCTTATAGACCTTAATCCAACTGTCATCCTTGAACCTGATCCCCATTCTTCACATGGAAGTTGATATCTGTTCACAGACTTATTATGTGCACTTGTATAAATATCCTGAGATTCATGTTGTTGTCCCAACCTGAGATTATTGCTCATGTTTGGATCATGTGTTGAGGTCTTCAGTCCCATGGACCTTGTTCTACAAGACCTATCACTTGTGCCCTCATGGAGATTAGTGTTGTTAGCATTTGAAGTACTTTCTCCCATGCCACCACTCTCACCTTCTGAGTTAGTTCTATCCCTACACGTCTTCAATCTTTTATACACAACATTAAACATCTTTTTTGAATGTGAATGCAATCCCGAAGAATCGTGGACTCTAGATACGGAGTCAATCTGTGTATCTAATTGCTGCAATCCATCAGCTCCCTGGTTTGTACTAATTCTATTTGCTCCATCATACTCCAACACTTCTGAAACTGAATTCCATTTCATGTCCAAAGAGCTATCATGCAATGCATCAGATCCACATTCAATGGAAGGGTCAGGACCTTCAGCATCCCTTGAAATCATTTTCGACTTTATTCTCAACTTAGTTGAAATAGGTAAATGGCTCTCTTCTAGTTCGGGATGGTTATTAGAGTCATTCTGATGGGCAACAGGATTGGCAGCTGCATCCCCATTAGTCATGTTAACCCAATTTGATGATTCATCATAATCTCTGAACTCACTGAATCCTGAGTGCTCCTTGCCATTGGCTTCACCACCCAATATCTCACAGTTCTTAAATCCATGACTTTCCACATTCGTTATCTCTACTTCATCTATCTTATCCCCACAATTTGTAGTTTCTATACGGGAGGATGTATCAATGCCATTTTCTTCAGGTTTTACAAGTCCAATAACTTCGTTTTCTTTTGCTTTATGATTGTCAAGATGCACATCAGAGCCAGTATTTGCATCCAATAACATCGATTCTCCTAATCTCAAACGTTTGGAAGTGCGAGCCCTGACCCCTCCCCATTTTATTTCCCCATTTTTGTATCCATCTGAGAGGTTTAAATGAAGTTCAACCTTTTCTAATTGCTCTCTCCCTCTTTCCATCAAGCTGCAGTTTGCATCACCTGAACAGCAACCTTGGTCAAGAGGGCTTACGTGATTTCCATTGTCAAGAGCTGCTTCTTCAGGAACCACAGATGATGTACCAGCCACATCGTCATGCCTGTCAGATTTATCAAATGCACTCTCAAGCTTGGGCTTATTAGAATCACGAACTGGTAATTTTAGGACCAATTTCCTCCTGGTTCCAGCCTTCACATGAGATTCAGGGAATTCAAGTTTAGCTGCATCCTCAGATTCATCTAAGGAAATTTCTTTCCCTTTTGAATGCTTCATTTGCTCATTTACCAAAGATCTACTAGATTCCTCACTCTCCACGTTTGAGTCTTGCAGTGTGCCTTCACTCTCTGATATTTCACCTTCTGAGCCATCCTCATCTTCTCCATCTGTAGATGCCCCTGTAATTTTGGAAAATAATGTACGAGCATTGCGTGCTGCAGCTCTCTGAGGTCGCAATGACTTTGATTTAGAAGACTTCCTCCTTGAAGTTTTTTGGCTATTTCCTGACTTCCTAGTTCGGATATGTCTTGATGAATTACCCTCGCACTCATCCAAATTTCTCTTTTTAACACGTCTCCCAGAAGATGTCATAATCTCAACCTAAAAAAGAGGATTAAATATCCAAGTCAAGCATGTGCAAATAAGAAAAATCAAATATAATTTGTGGAAAACACTTACTTCAGCCTTTTGTTTTTTCCTCTTCGATCTTCGAAGGCCATCCTTCTGATTGTCCTCATTCTCACTGTCTTCAGCACTGCACTCTGGATCATCAGAGGAAGTAGAACTTAAATTTCCTCGCTCCTCTCCGGAAGAATACTCTTCAGGAACATTGTACTCTGAATCAGTATCATCACTTTGAACTTCATTTTCTGGTTCCCAATCCATTACATCAACAAATTCTGGCAGCGGGTCAATGATTATGTCCAAGTCTGCCAATGGCTGCAATTGGTAATCCTGATCTAGACTGAAGTTTGGCCCAACAGTAAGTTTTAGAGAAGAAGGGCGCCACTCAATACCCAGAGCTCCCAACCGTCTTTGCTGGTACATAGTTTGATAGGGTTCTGGGTATGGAATCATGCCTGAATTTCCCACACACAACCAGCACTTTAAGAAAAGAATAGATTCACTAGAGAAAAATAAGGCCTCAAAATATCTCGATTATTGAGTCCATGAAAGAATAGAGAGAAACCTGAATCACAAAGGGGATCTTGCATATTCCGCCGGTAAGGCGCGAGTTGAGTTTCCTAGATCAAAACACCGCCCAAGTTTGAAATCAGGAAGTGGTCACAGAGACAACATAAATACAATAATCTAATATAGAACTTAATAGTTATGTCCTACCCACAAATATCTATAAATTCCACACATATGAATGCAAAAGGGACAGAGAACATCAGAGCCAAATCTTAGCCACAACTATTTATACAACAGTTCAAGTTTAATCTTCCAAGGTTAATCCTAGAGGACAGAGAACAGTTTGCTGCTTTAAATCATGCAATTCTAAAACTGAAACAGTCAGTATATATGTATGTATGTATGTATGAACCATTCTAAATGTTTCAGCACAGCCCCTCCTATGTTTACATATAAAACATAATATTATAAAATAGCGCACATATAGGGAAAGCTAATTAATAAAAAAAGTTAGTGAAGATGGTCAACTAACCTGGTCCAGTACATTTCCATAGGTATCTTGAATAAGGGGGCGATAATCACCAAGGAAAAACTGTTTAAACAGCACCAGAGCATAAGTATCGAAGAGAGTGCAGGCAGCCCACTTATGATAAAACTAGAAAAAAGAATAACTAGTTATTCATGCTATCAACTACCTGATCATATTTGGCATCCTGTTGGGATTCCCCTTGCCCTGTGTTTAATATATATAATTGACCAACATCATCTGAGAGTATAATAGAGGTTCCATCCCTATATCAGTAGCAATGATGAATCAAAAACTTTATTGATGTAGGAGAAATACAGGAATATTTTGCACAATATTGCAGAGAATGTATATATAGAATAATTCTCTTATCAAGACGTCCTGATATTAATTTTTCAGGACCATGAATATATACCATTGGATTTGAATTATAAAATATCATAACAATCCAATGAGATGAATCCAACGATGATAATCCTGATAAAATTAATAAGACATCCTGACAAGAGAATGACTAATATATGTAAGTATGTATGTATGTATTTATGTATGTATGTAATTGCAACACTGTATTTTATATTCACAATCTTACTTACAAGGAGGAAAAAAACTTTTGAGCCATAAGTGAACAATTTTAGTATCAAGAAGCACCAGACAGGACCCAGGATATTTAAAGCCACTGTCACATTTTTTTGACTCATTATCTTAAAATTGGATTCAGATCCTAGCATGTTCAAATCTAGCATGATTCACAATATTGTAAATGATACCTCATCTCAGCTTAACATGAAATGGAGATTTACAATATAACCACCACAGTTTTGATCTCCATGCACAGAGCATGGAAGATTATGGAAGTGAAAACAAAGGTCACTAGGGCAGAATCAGAGACCAAGTGAACTATGAAATCTCAATACTCAAAGGAATATATAAGCCTGAGTAAATTTAAGAGTATTCTGAGAATCAATCTATCATCAAGACAAGAAATTTCTTTGAGTTGTGCTGAAACTAAACAAAAAGTGAAGTGTCAATGCAATCAACATAACAAAAGAATACTAGTCACTTACGGTGAAAACTTCCCATCAACCAACTTGAAACGTGAAATTTCATAGATCCTGATAGGGGTACCTTCCCAAATCTAAATAACACAAAATGTGAATGCATTAAGTAAACATATAAAATTAGCAGTCTTTTCAAAGAGCTGGAGAGAACTGGATACTCACATCCCACACTATAGTTTTGCCATCATAACCAGCACTCATAGCTATGCGCGGGTTGAAAGGATGAACATCCAAAACATAAGTCTACCATAATGACAAAAAACCATGATAAGAAACAAAAAATAAAACAAGGACAACCCAGCTTCACACATCCTCAACAGATTAGCAGTGACATATGACTGAGCAACCAAAAGTTGGTGAGTCATAAAAGCAAAAACCACCCCAGTCCTCATACAGACAATTGGACCACAATTTATTTCATGAGAATCCTTAAATCAGATGGCAGGATAAAGGCTGTATGTTAGATCTCAAAACATTGCTAAATAAAAGTTCCTATATTTTTAAGGCAAAAAACCTTCCATTCAGCAGTTAACCTACAACAGAACTGTATCAATTACATTAGGTCCGAAAATATTATAAAATCAAGGATTTAAAAGAATGTCACCAACACAGATAAGCTGGAAAGCATGGAAAAGGTATGCCAGCCATATACTGATTCAACATAAAAAAAAGATGAATATACAAGTCCAAACCAAAGAATCACTTGAGGCAAAAGATTAAAAAGGAAAATCTGAGGATGTACTGGTAAGACAATGGTCATGGCAGCAAATAAAAGAGGTAAGATATCTATCTAATGCAAGGAGATTGAAGCTGTACAAACAGCACATACATCATGTTCATCCACAATATATCATATCTGATAAATAAAGTGCTGACCAGAGAGTAATAGTAATCACAATAGAAAGATAGAATAATAGTAATCACAATAGAAAGATAACATTAATCAGGAAAAATAAAATACTCACGGATTCAGTATGACCAGTCAAAGAATGTACTAAGCTACCATCAGCAGCATTCCAAACACATATTCTGCAATCTGCATTCCAATAAAAATATCGCCATCATCTAGTCAAATTTACACAACTTATGCCCCACCAGCAATGCAACCATATAGAATGCTTCTGCTTCATCCCACTTCAAAAAAATTTAATCCTAATTCTGGATATTGTCAAATTGGACAAGCATGTGAATACATACAGAAAAGGTTATCAACATTAAATGCATTGCCTTAAACTGCAAAACAAGAAGTCAAAATATCATATAGGATAATAGACTTAGACATGCACGACAGATAAGAGCTTTAAAATGGTATGTGCACAATAGCATGCCTTATTAACCCAACAATTAAAGGACGACTTTGACCTAGAATCTGCACAACAAAACACATTATGAACTTCAATCTTAATCCTTCTATGCTTCACCTGTAAATATAGACATTCATAAGCCAAAAGAGCATCTTTTTCGCTAATGAGATTTCATATGTAGATTATGATTGAATAAGATCATTCTTGAATGAGGTATTCAACTGTAAGTGTGAACAACAAACCTTTCCACCTCATATTTAAAAAAAAAATAACAAATTTCTTTAGAGGAAGGACGAAGGGGAAACAAAAAGCATACCCATGATAGCAGCAAGAACAAAGCGATTGTCTAGGCTCCACACAATCATATTAACACCTCGAGGAGTTGGAAGAATTCTTTGACGTGGGCCCCCTCGTGGAGGTTGAGGAGGCATAGGAGGAGGTGGAACTTTGAGATGATAAGCTTGTGTCCAACGGGCAGCTTTTGGCTGAAACAAAGTACTAAAAGCATAAATTTCTAATTTTGAAACATGAAAAGAAAATCATCATATTACTCCTAGGTTTAATAGATCCAATTGAACTTCATGGGAAGAAACTGAGTTTAATGCCTGATGAGAAGGCTTATTTGGAAGTTGAGCGAGAATGAGAAATTGTCATCCATGAGAACTTACATGGGATCTGCGTGATCTAGGGATCCAAATAATTGCACTGCCGTCACGAGAACAGGTAACTATATTGTCATGAGAAAACCTGATTATAGATAATGACAAGTATAAGCCTTGAGTAGATAGTGTTAAAAGTGCATGACAAGCTGAATTAATTTTCTTACTAAATGTGGGATAAACAGGCAGCTTAAGGACCCCAAACTTTTTATCTTTCAAGACGGATACTCCCAGATGACATATGCTATTTAAGAAGCCACCAACCTAAAACAGAAAAAATAGAAAAGGAGAATACACGTACCAGGAATTTTTAAATTTTGGTGTATTCTCTTCCTTTGAATTGTCGGCTAGAGAAAATCTTGATGCCACAGCACAACCACTGCAATATTAGGAAGTGTCACAATGTAAATAAGCCACTCAAGTGTAGTTCACAGTTATTGCCAGCATAGAATAGAACACTAACCTGAACTGCACATAATTGACATCATTCTCGTGGCCAGATAACACATCTATCTCATGATTTGGTTGGTCTGAATCATCCATGTTAGGTTTACAAGCATTCCAGACCTGCAAATAGCTCACTACTCTTATAAAGAAGTTCTCGATTGAATGCAGCATAGTAACAAAAAACAATATGCACAGAACCTATACAATTAGTAAAACAAAGGTACAGTAGAATAAAGATCAGGCAGAAATGTGTAAGCGCAAAAGTAAACTCAAAGCAAGCATCATTAAATGTACCCTAGCAAGAGTGTCTGAGCTACCAGTAACGAAGACAGTCCCATTAGCATTAAACGCACAACAAAAAATTTGATGGCTCCGTGGACCAGCACTGGTGGATGGACCAGTGTTCTTCCCTGCAGCCATCCAGTGATCCTATACATTATTAGCTCTTCTCAAAAGATTTCAGTCAATTAATATTGTGTATTCAAAGAAACAAACCAGCCATAGAATCTGATGGTCTTGGTACATATATCCGTGGACTGAATTGAGAATATCTAGCATCCCATATCCTACATGTTCCATCGTCAGATGAACTGCAGAAGATAAAGAAGAAGCACTAAAAATTAAGTTATAAAGCACGAGGTGTGAAGTGTACAGATTATCACTTACAACATCTCAAAAAGCAAACAGAATCTATGCCAATAAATAAAACAAAAAAAAATAGCATGGAATATGTAAATTCCCAATAAAAATTAAAATACAAATAGTAGCAGAAAAAAAAAAAAAATCACTAGCAATTATTTCACATAATCAAGCAGAACACAGAAATCAAGAACCACATACTGACAGGAAATACAGATAATTACAAAGACAGCTTTTGAGAACATTGTCTCCAATAAAAAAAAAAATATATATATATATGCCTTCCAGTGTCGGGCAATTCAAAAATAACAAAACAATTGAATTAAAAGACCAAGCCTCAAGAAAAAGGGCAAAACAATTAATTTGTTCAATGAAGTAGAAAATGGAAAGAAGTTTAATATGCCAACAGGAAATTTGTGTACTAAAAGGAGATAACAAAAAGACATAAGAAGAGCATAGAGAACAAAAGCATGAACATAACTTCAAAAGATAGGAATTTCTATAAACACAATAGATTGCCTTGATAACTCTCAGAAAAAAAATCAAAGGAACCAGAAATTAGTCTTACGATAACAGCTGGTATACAGAGCCTGGCCTAGGACTAAATGCAATGGCAGTAACAACCCCAGTATGTCCTCGCAATACTGAAATTGGAAGCCCATCTGGCAAACGCCACTATCCAAAACCAGAAAAAAATGGTCAAACGATTGAATTTGGAGACAGAGAGAGAGAGAGAAAGAAATCTTATGTCAAGAACAAATGGTAACTTACAACACGAATAATACAATCATTTGAAGAGGATGCCACCAACGCATTGTTGGAACTCACGGCCAAATCTGTGATATCACCCTGTTGTGCACATGATAAGACAACATATGATTAAACAAAAACTAAAAATAGTGCAAATAGATGTTTGATTTATAGAAGATCTAAACTCACTTCATGTCCACGGCAGCTAGCCAGGCAATATGCAGTCTCCATGGACCAGATTTTTACAAGGCGATCATCAGAACCAGTAATTACATATCTCCCTGAGCGATCAAATGTTGCTGCAGAAGATTGAACAAAATAAGAACTTAGATATGCATCCATGAAAACCACTAAACATGTTAGGAGACACACAAACAAATGCAACTCATTAAATACAATACATGGATTAAAACACAAGCTGACTTTGATATCATGTTAAGTTACTATTTGACTAAAATGCTTAAATTGATAGATAAGGATCCAACAATACCATTTAAGCTCTTAATAAATCTAATGACAAAAAAGAATAGGATAGATAAACATGGACATGAAAAAATGACTTTCATTCAAATAATTGCTTCTTACCCTTGTAGGCACAACAACACTAGTGCACTAAGTGCCAGAACAAGAAGATGTTTTTACCTTTCCTCTATGTTTACAAATTTCTGAATTGGGAGTTACTTCCAGATCTTACAACCTTAATAAACAAGAACTACCTGGAGGTAGTATCCCAAGCAGGTGACCCTAATAGGAATTGAACATTTGACCATAGTTAAAAGACTTTTACCACTAACCTAACTTATAGGTTAGCATGCAATTATGCATATAACTAAAAATTCTCTGGTGTAAACATTTGCACTGTATAAAAGTGTAGACCTAAAGTGAGCTAGGCCATGTTGCTAGTGCAAACAACATTTCCTATCTCAGTTTACATAACTATCCACAATTTAGGTCCCGCTATGAGTTCTCATGAGTGGACACTCTGATTTTTTAAAATCTGGATTTTCTACATACACAAAATTATTAAAAAAAAAAAAAAACAAATTTTTGTTGAAATATTTACCTAGTGAGTTGACAGGAGTTCAAAAAAAAAAAAAAATCTTTTAGCAATTCTATACAGAGTTGTTGGTCGAAATTTCAAAAAGAAAAACAAAGATTTCCATAGGAGAGGACCGTAGTATACACATATGAGAACTAGATATACAAGTTTCCATTTCAAAAATCGAACATCTTAATTAATAAAATCCATACCACAATAGACAGCATTCCGATGTCCTCGTACCCTCTTTATATTTTGCATCTTCTGCACCATGGTTAATGGTTTCACAATGGCATAACATGCTGCACGAATAGATGGAGCACGATGATGTCGTGTGAAACCACCCCCAATTTCTCTCAAACTTAGCCCTCGAACCTGATCAGCGTGCTTATGAGGCCAACGCATATGAGCAGAGGGATGCTTAACTTCAAATTGTCCTTTATCCCTATCATCTTTATAAGGGGTAAAAAGAAATCAGGAGTAATAAGTAGAGAGAAAATTAGCCTTTGCAAAATAGAAAATTAATCAAGCTGATGCAAACTGAATTTACAAACTCCCAAAAAGGAGATGAAGGAAGAAAGGTCAATGGAAAGAGTTAAACGATGCCGAAAAGCTTAAATAAAAGTCACCTACAGCTCAAAAGTGAAAATGTTCCTGTTCCCAGAAGAGTCGGAACATCAGCTGCATTTGGTGCATTTTCACCCATCATGCTTCGTGATGAAGAGGGTGTACTTATTATCAACTGCTTCAAAAGCTTTACCAAGTGGTCCTTTTCAATGTGAGGATACCTGAAGAAGACAAATGATCATACTTTTAAGCCAAAAAATTTGTACAAAAATAATACAACATGAGATTGAACAAATGTTTATTTGCTTCTTTCTCTCTCTCTCTCTCTCTCTCTCTCTCTCTCTCTCTCTCTCTCTATATATATATATATATATAGCCAAAATAGCATATATAAGGAAGCTAATCGGCCATAAATGCAACTTTGACCCTAATTCGGAGAATTTAATGAATTTAACCAAAGTTTCTAAATGTTGAAACAAGACAAGAAAGCACAATGTGTACCTCTCCACCAACTTATTGTAACTTAATGGGAATGACAGGCCATCATCATTTTCATCCCCACTGTGTACCCCATTCCTTGAATACCAAGCATGATACCTTCTAGGAAGAAGTTGATGTTCAAGAAGTTCATTCCAAAACTGTCCATAAGTTCTCTGACATGGCCCAGCCGAAAGGAAATGCATAATCAAAAAATAAACTTCTCTAAGGTCAATGTCAACATCAGGCTCCACAGTATGACTTGCTTCAGGATCTGCAAGCTGAGCATTCCCATGCACCTTACTTGAAAGATTCAAAGGTTTCATAGAAACAGAAGGTGCATCCCCAGCTGGAATGTACTTCCGAAGAGCCATATTTTTCTGTATTCTAGAAGCAAAAGGAAGAGATGTAAAAATTATTTAGTGAAAATGAATATAAAAACATTTATATGACGCAAGAAAATTTCTCCCTGGATATCAAAAATTATTTCCACATATATCATTGCATAGATGGTTGAAGGTTTCTTTTCTTAAGTAAGCTATGGTAGTAAGTCATATGGGCTAGTCTTATGCTGCAACATTGGTACCTTAAGTCTGCAGGTCAATGCTGGTCCAGAGATAGATTCATATTTGGCCCATTATGGTGAAATTGGAGGAAAAGGAGCACATATAACAAGGTGCAAAATTACCAGCAGTAAGAATTATGAAGTGAAGACCGTTAAATGGTAATTAAATGAGGTTAAAATTGTAATTTATTCAGGATTGGCCTAAGCACGTCCAAGGTGTCCTTCTTTTTCCATAGAGAATTCAGTAAAGCATCGCATAAATAGATAAGTCAATTAAATGGGGAAATTCATTCAAGAATGGAATTATGAGTACAAGCACACTAAGAAATCAGTGGATTGTCCTTTCTTAGTGTTTTTCCTTAGTTTCATTTTTGGACTTAGAAAGTTGAACTTAATTCTGCCTGAAGACTTCTTGAAGTGTTGGCAAGAGACACCATTATGCCTGTTTTAGTTAGAGTTTAGGCTCCTAAGCTTGTATCTAGATTTAAGGGAACTTTTCTTCTCTACAGGATTCTCTGAATACTTTTTCCACTACCTGATCGAATTTTATAAACAACCTATCTCGCTTCAGCTAATTCACCTCTAGAATTTGAGAATTTCAAATATTTATAATGCATCCAAGCCTTTGCAAACAAATTGCCATATTTATCAAATACAAACAATTTCAAGTAAATCCCAAAATATCAATTCTAATAAACCCTACACTACACAAAAAGTAACAGAAAGAACCAATGTGAAGCAATGCCACCAGTAAAACTACACGACAATCCCCAATTAACTACACGAAAACTCAAAATAATCAATTCCCAAACTATCAATTCTAATAAACCCTAAACTACACAAAAAGTAACAGATAGAACCAATGTGAAGCAATGCCACCAGTAAAACTACACAACAATCCCCAATTTAACTACACGAAAACTCAAAATAATCAATTCACCCTACTCAAATATACAATCAATTGGTATAGCAAAAAAGATATTAAGAACCTTTTCAATAAGTCAAATAAATGAACCAGATGGACGGTCCCAACAAACTGGAAATACTCTTCTACACTTTTGAAGAAACCAAGAACTGCCAAATTCCATAGATGCACTCCTCTCTGCCACCAAAAAAAAAGAAAAACCCTAAATTCAATCTATTTTCACTTCACACTCTCATAAACTAATCAAATGTAGATAACATGAAACCAAACTAACACAATTTAGGATCTAATTCAATATATGCAGAAGCCCTATCCAGTTCCTCCAATAAAATAATAAAAAAAGTGAACATCATAAATTAAAATTAGTTAAAAGGAAAACCTAGGTTATAAATTTACCTGCAATGGAGTTGGTTTGAACACAAAACGATGAGTTTGTAGCGTGTCTTCAGTCTTTCACTCTCGAGCTCTGTGAATTGGAAGGCAAGCGTAAAATGAGATCGAGCGGTGGAATGAAAGTGAAGAGTGAAGAACACGCGCCAGATAAAGGAAATTTAGATTCTTTGGAGGGAGCTCTGTGTGTCTGTGGAGGTTTTTGTTGTTTGTTATTGTAGAGAAAAGACCGAGAGAGACACACAGTGAGAAGGAGAGAAGAAGCAGAAAGACGTTGAACGAAGCGTTTTATATCTTTACGCCCACTCCTCGTAGAAGGATGCTTTGAGAGGAAAAAGAAAACAAAAAAAAAAAAATAGAATTAAATTAATTTGGATTATCCGGATACGCGTACCCACGCGCAAGGTTATCGCGTAGAATATTAGACTGTAACCAAACGACGTCGCCGCTTTTTTATTTTATTATTTTAAGTACCGTGGGAGTCTGTGAGGACTGAGGTGTGAGCTGATATAGAATTCTTCTAGATCGTTACGGTACGTCCGTTTGTACTTACATCCAAGGTACCACGTTTGGGATTGGGAATTGGGAAAATGGACCCACTGATGGGCCTGGCCCAGTTTTATTTTCTGATAAGAAAAAGTTTTTTAAGAAAATACTTATCATTTCTTTCCTTTTTCAGGATTAATAATTAATTTATTTTTATTAATTAAGCAGCCTTTATATAAACAATCTATCCTTGTTAAATATTGTGGTTCGTTTATATATTTGTTCTGGTATAAAAATAGAATTATGGAAGTCATATTAAAAACTAAAATATGAATCATATTAGAAATAAAATGTCTCATAACCGACTTATAAATATATAAATAAAAAATAATTTAAGGTTACGAGAGAATGTGAGCACACAAAATATTTGGTTAAAGGGTTATTAAACATCATGCGTAGAGTATTTAAGAAATTGGGATTATTCTCGCTCTAGATACTAGATTGAACGTGGTTAAAAACTATGATTATTTTTACTCTATTAATTATGTATTAGGTTTATAGTGTTGTATACTCTTATATATCGTGTTCATAAAAGTATAATGAGTTTCTCTCATTTGGGATTGTAATCTAGTTATGACAAACCACGTAAACATTGTACCTCTTAGTATAGTGTAATTTTATTTATATATTATTAATCTCGAATGTATGTTTTTCGTCGGAACGATCTCCTAACAATCCATAATATAATTTTTATGAATTAATAGGAAGGTTTGATAATTTAATTAGATAAATAAAAATTTTAAATATTAACTTTTTAAAAAATTTGAGAATAAAATTAGAGAAATTTCTCTCAAAATATCCGATAGGTCAAGTGGTCAACATTCTCGTACTTGCATTTTAAGATTCCAATAAGATTGGATAAATTATAAAACAAAGATACGCTTTTTACAACTTTTACTATGTTAAAACAAATTATAAATAATTAAATATATCTAATAAAATATAACCATTAACTTTCTCTTCTCTCTGGAAATTTGATTTCTTTATGTCGCACCCATTAAACCATATAATATTTATTTAGTTAACTGAATTATTGCTTTGAATAATAAAAATATATTTACATTCTCGAAATGAAAATTGTTTTGATCGAGTTCTTTGCTTTAGAATCAAGAAAAGTTTGATAAAAAAAACAAAAATGCTATATCCATCGACCGAAACACGTGAAGCTTCTTTTCTCTGCCAGGAAGCCGAAAATGCTATAACCAAAATAAAAAAAAAAATGTCTTTTCACGCTTTCGCACAACCCATGTGCTTTTTTGACAGGTGTGAATGTGATATTCTACAGCTTTTCACGCTTTCACACAACCAAAAACGTACCCCTCTTCTTCTTCTTCTTCATGGCCTTCCATGGCTTCTTCATCGACTCCCTCCATCAAATCTTCACTTGGGTCATCTAAATCTGCCTTTTTGCAGCATGGGTTCTCTTTGCAATCTGTAACTTTTCCTGGGTTTCTCATGAAAGCTCGTTCCTTTGGTATTTTTGCCAGAGTTGCTACGGAGAAGACTTTATATGACTTCACCGTTAAGGTAATTTTTTAGTAGTTAATGGAGAAGAAGTGGGGTGCGTTTTGGGTTGTGCGAAAGCGTGAAAAGTTGTAGAGAAAGAAGTAGAGGAAGGCATAGAAGAAGCCATTGGTTATGAGAAGTTAGGCAATATGCGTGGACAATCTTCTCTCACCTGTCTTCTCTCACGTGATGAAGACTCTTTACTATGGACTTTGAGCATGTCTCTCGTGAGAGAAGACTCTTTACTAACAATGGCCATGCCTCCTACGAGTTAGGGTGGGTTTTTGTTCCATTTCGTCACCTTTTTACTTTCCAAACCTTAGCACTTGAACATGAACTCAAGAAGCAGATAATGGACGATGCAATTAGGTGATGTATTGTGTGAAGAGAGAGCTCAAATGAAACTCTCAAAGGCTAAATATCAGCTTGAAGAAAAAAATACAGTTGTTGATAAACTGAGGAGTTAACTTGAAGCTTTTTAATTAGTGTAGGGACGCCTTTACAAAAATAAAGGACGGCCGTCCATTACATATGGATGGCCATCCTTACATAATGGACGGGCGTCCATTTGGAATGGACGCCAGTCAATTCCAGATTTAAAATTTTTATATTTTAAAAAAAAGATGGGCGTCCCTTATTCATGGGTGCCCGTCCAAAATTAAGGGACGGGCATCCATTAACATATGAACGCCCGTCTAATATTTATGGACGGCTGTCCATAACCTATGAACGGTCGTCCCTAATTTTTTTTAATATTTTTTATTCTATTTATTAATGGACAAGCGTCCTTTAAATGGGGACGTCTGTCCATAATAAATGGACCCTCGTCCATATAATATGGACGAGAGTCCATGTAAGTGAACAGCCGTCCATATTTTATGGACGGCCGTTCACTAGAAAAAATTTAATAACGTCAAATGCGTTGAATGGTCTGAGTTAGGAGACACGTAGGCCGGTACAAAATTTCAATATAAAAACCCCAGTGTTTGTAGCATTGTTGTAAAAAAAAAAAAACACATTTTGCTTCCCTTTAGCTTAAGTTGTTTCATTTTGTTTTCTTACAACCCAGTTGAAAACAATTTTCTTATACCCATTCCGGACTTTAACTCGATCAAGGGTCCTATCACCCAGGTTGGGTGGTCTGATCGGCGGGTCGGATTAATGATGTTATACTATCGTCAGTATGATGTAATAAAATTTTAATTTTTTTCTCTATTTGGGCATAATGATGAACAACTTGATGGAATGGGGCTGTTCTTGCCTAGAACAACTTAGAGGACAGACAAATGCTCGTTCATTCTCTTGGAACGAGCGTTTCACTTCAACCTATTCTCTAACCTGACGGTTGAACTGCGGTTCGTAGAGCTGGGACCGGTCCTAGGAGGCCTGGTCCCAAAACGGGACCAAGCCTAAGGAGGAGGGCCCGGGCCCTCCTCCAAGGCCCGGGCCTGGGCCCGGTCCCAAGCCTGGGCCCAAAAGCTTTTTTGTCTTTATCAATTTAATCCTTTATAAAATTACATTAAACCCCCTAAAATCAGTATAAATTCAAGGGCTAAAATAAAGTTTTACAAAATTTATTTAAAAAAAAAAAATAACCGTTGGCTGCAACGGTTATAAATTTTTACCGTTGCAGCCAACGGTAACTGCCAAGTGCCAACGGTTACATTTATTATTTATATAATATAAGTTTTTTTTTTTCATTTCCCCCCCCACAACTACACTATAAATAACCCTAAAACCTTTAATTTTTTTCACACCAATCTCTCAATCTCTCATTCTTTCATTCTCTCAATCTCTCTACTCCAAATCTCCAATCAATTTCTCATTCAATTTATATTTATAATTTATTCATATTATTTATTTATATTATTCAAATTTTTTTCTATTTTTCAATATCATCATAATTTCATATTATTATTTAATTTCTTTTCATTTTAATTATTTATTATTTTATCATAAATTTATAATGTCTTCCCCAAATGAGTTTTACGTTCCATCCACCGAAGAAATTGAAGCCTTCAATCCATTTTCACCATTTCCTCCAGAGGATGCAGCTGTAATTCCACAACCACATTCGGCCGGGACGAGGTGTAGCCAAACACATGTGAGCTGCGAGTCAACGGGCACGGACATAGCCCAACCCCCCCGACCGTCAAAGAGGGTCGTGTCCGATGTCTGGCGATACTTCACCAAATCAAAACGGCCAAAGACAAATGGGGAGGGGGAAGAATCGTGTGGGATATGTAATTTATGTGGAACCATTATTGGGGCTGAGAAGGGGACTTCGACGATGCGACGACACGTAGAGAAGAAGCATCCCCAAATAAATGCATCTTCAAGCGGATCAGGTAGACAAATTCAAACTCAACTTAATTTTAATCCACAATCCTCAACTCTCTCAACATGGCAATACAATACACATGTTGCACGAGAGGAAATAGCAAGATATATAGTTGCTACAGACTCTCCCATTTGTTTATCTGAAAATCTTTTTTTTGTTAATATGGTTAAAACTGCATTTTGTCCAGCATATACCCCTGTTAGTAGAACTACAAGTAGAAGAGATATACTAAAACTTTATAACAAAATAAATAATAAACTTAAAAACGAATTTCAAAATTTTAGGAATATATCTATTGCACTTACATCAGACATATGGGCTTGTAGATCAAAAACCGATTTTTTAACTGTTACAGTACATTTCTTAGATCATAATTGGGGTTTACAACAAAAATTGATAGGTTTTAAACCATTATATGAAAAACATAGTGCTGAAACTATTTATTTTACGATTCTTGAAGTTTTGCAAGAATATTTATTAACTGATAGAGTTGTAGCGCTAACGCTTGATAATGCAGCTGCTAACACCGCGGCAATATCTTTATTTGAAAAGAAATTGGATCCGCTTGGTGAAGGCAAATTTTATCACCAGAGATGTGCTTGTCACATCATCAATTTGATAGTTAAAGCAGGTTTAGATGCTATACATTCAAGGATTGAGAGGGTGCGTAGAGCTATCGGATTTATCGTCGGCGGTAGCAATAAAAGATGGCAGGAGTACGTCAAATATTGTAAGCAAGAGGACCCACCGGTTCGACCTTTGAAGTTATGTACAGACATGCCTATCCGTTGGAACTCTACCTACTTGATGTTGGAAAAAGCTTTGCCAACCGCGAAACAAATTACAGATTTCGTCAACCGGAAGACCTATCCAGAGGAAGTTGTCGATTATGATGATTGGGG